GTACTGCTTGGTACAAGCGGTATTATTCGAAATTGAAGACCTTGGTTAGACCATTATCTTTTTCTATGCAAATAACATACACAATTTTCCTACCGAACGAAGCTTCGCAAATTGGTTATCTGCAAGGTTGGCTAAACAAATATAGTAAAAGTAGAAAAAAATTTTAGCAAACAAGACAACTGCAGAGAAGAAAATTATTCATACATTTAAGTTAATCTTTCCATCTTAAATAGAACCACTTAGCATGAGCCAGAAAGGACTGAGCATCATCATCAACTCATATTCATACCTGAGATAGGTAATGATTAAGACATGAATCAATGGTGCTTAGATGACAAGTATACCTTTTTGTAAGGATCACCAGATTCTTGATGCAGGAGAGGGCGGGAAGCAGTACCCACAGCAGCAATTCGCCTTGCTAGAGCTTCCAAAGGAACATCTAACCAGACTGTTAGCCCCTGCTTCATATACTTCCTGAAAACATAAATCACAGTGATTCATGTTGACACCAAGAAAGTGAACCTACAATCACATGCATCAGCCTCCTACCAGTTGATTGGTCGAATGACAGCACCACCACCAGTCGCAACAACCAAGCGGTGCATAGATGACAAGTCCTTCAGCACTTTACTCTGAACATGTACCAGAGAGAAGAATAAGGATTTAGTCTCTAGTTTTCTTTTCCTGAAAAATGCATGTTAAATACAGAACTTGACCTATTTTTAAGATGTTGATGTTATAAAATAGTAAAACACATATTTATTATTGACTACTATAGCAATAAAACCATAATGATCTGGATCTGTTTCCATCATTGAGATATGAGCTATGTAAAAAATCATATTTTTGGTTAACCTAAGAGTATTGTGAATATTTATTTATAATCTCTATTAATTTTTTTTATGTCTTCTCTTCTACCATCACTACAATAATTGTTTAACCTCTTCTATTGTCTAATGACTGTGAATAAAGACTCAGGATCCAACTACCAACAAGGTAAGTTGAAAGGACCTCATTATCTCGGAAGAAGGCTTCGCTATGGTCCTTAAAAATCTGAGCAACAGATGAAACACCAACCGCCTGCTCGACCAATTTATCACTGGAAAAAACCAATAAGCACACAAATTTTATCCCCCAGAAGCATAAGCACTATAATAGGCATTATATAGTTTCCTACATACGAGTACACCAAGTCAATGACTATTTTGCACATCAATAGAAACGCACCTATCGAAAAAAGAATAGCATAGCACTTCAGATAATATCTTTCCTACTGTACTCTTCCCAGAACCCATCATTCCTGTGGAAATACAGTTTAATATTAGGTCACCACAGAAACAAAAGAACAACTGTTTAACATAGACACCTAACTGACTATTGACATCTTCATCAATCAGATACTCACCAACAAGATATATACAACGCCCATTCAAGTAGGGAAAAACATCTTCTGACTTATTCTGCAATTAAATGCCTTCTATCAGTCAGATCATTGGAAACAGACAATTTGACTACTTATCCTTGTTTGTGTTTTACTCGAATGACAACATAACATCATCCATCAAAGGCATAATTTCCTACCTTGAGTATGAGAGCTGCATCAACAGAGTTATGGAAGTTCTCCGATCCTACATGGTAAAAAAAGACACATAAGGACAACTAATGACCAAAGAAAGTTGTGGGAATTAATTTTCAAATCCAAAAACAGAGTCCATATCATTGGTAAACACTCACTGACAGATGTTCGATGTTCTTGAAAACTCGATGTTAAAACATGAATAATAAATTGGTAAATAAAAGCTCAGATAAATTTGGAAATTCACAAAAAGGAAGAACAAAGATCAAATTGAACGAGAGGTATGGATTTTAAATTTAAAGGACAGGACAAGTAAATCAGTAAATAGTAGGATCAACAGGCAGACATACCCAATTTGATATTAGAAAATAGGGCTCCTGCATATTTGTCCAAAATACACTTACCAGGATGGAAGTAGTCATCCATGTCGTTGACAGACATATATAACTCAAAAGTCTTTTCTTCAATTGCAAAATTTGCCAATAAACCAACCATCATTAGGATCTTTTTTGTAAGCATGCCGAACATCGAGCATGTCTCGACACCAATTTGATGTTTTGCTACTACTTGTTTCTGAATAGAACCATAGACGTAAACAAGGCAACTTAACTCTTGAAAAAGCATAATTAAGAAACTTGAAACCCCACCTCCGAAGCATGTCGATAACATGATCTAAGCACTATCATATCTTTATAGAGCACCATCAGGCAAATATATGAGTAGCGATGAAGGAAATTCCATAACTTATGGGAATAATCCGAGAGGACCTTTAAATCAATCATGAAGTGCTTTCCAACTTCCATAAGAACAAAGACGGATAACAAAGGATAATAACATATATCTTTCATGTCCTCATAAATTACTCCCCAAAACCTATATTTTTCGCTCCACTTTTCCTAAAACATTGCAATCCTTGTATCGTTTACAGATCACTTCCAAGTAACCACAAGATTTCTCAGCTCAAAGAACTACGAAGTACTTTTATTCTAAATCACAGAATTTAGGTTCTTTTTTCTTTCTGTTACTCTAATGAAAGAAATCTTTGAATAAAAAATTTCAATAAAAATGGGCACAAATCAAACAGCCTAAAAGATATACTCACCCATATTTTTCTTGGAGCAACATGCAATCTTCAGTTCCGGATAACCAGATCGAAGTGGAGCCCCAATGTTCCTTGAATCTCCAAATCTAACCGCCTGCACCTTTCTCTGCTCCGACCACCGATCCGGAAGCCTCACGGAGCAACCATTCTTGTTTCCGGATCTGTCCAAGCCGATCAAGGAACAGGATTGCAAGCTCAGCACCGCGGCCATCTCCATCGCTCGATCAAACCAAACCGAACCAAAATAGGAGTTTACAATTCACTGTAAATCACCGGAAGACTCACCTCCCATCAAGATCAGCAGGGCATTGCATCAACCCCCGTCTCGATGGGAGGATGAGAATTCGGCCGGAAACCCAACAGATCGGGGAGAGGATGCACCGCCGGCACGATAACGGCCCGTTGAATGGCTCAGGACAGCCGGAGGTTTTGGGGGTGTTGCATTTATATCTTTAGCCGGCGGGGTAGAATATTATTATTTCACGATAATACCACTGAGACATTCACCGCCTTTGTCTGACTTCATGAAAAAACGAATTGAAATTTGGATTAATGTTATTTTATGTGACAGAATATATTTTTTTTAATTTAAGAAAATATTAATAAAATCATAATTTTGTAAAAATAAAAGATACATATTTTTATAATAAATAGAGAGCCGATAATTCGTGATATTTACTGTCCGAACGGTTGTTACGATATACAACCATGGTTGGTGGTTTGTGGCATGTGGGGCGTGGGAGGGGTTGGTGGGAGATTGACCGGAGATCATAATTTTGAATCCGTCAAAGTTTCGATTGCTTGGTCTTGCGTCGAGCGGCTTTTGACTCTTTGTACCCGTTGTTGGGAGCATTACATGTATGAGCAGCTACTAATTGAACGGTGGTATGTGAGAGAAACTATAGGTTCATAGAGATCGATTTGGTTGTTTCATTTGTTTCAGGTGGAAAACGTGGTGCCGATAAGTCCAAAGAACATGCATAGCTGCATGTTATCCTGAGGCTGGCACTGCCATGATGCGATCCATCACCATTGCGGTTCACCCGGGGTCGGTGATGTGTACTTAATGGTTCGCGTCACGTTCGCATTAGGTGTCGCCACGTTGGAGATCCAATCTTATCTAGAATATTTTGTTGCGTGGTGGTTGTCTCACCGGTGGCATGGGGTCTTTCTGTGGCTACCATTAATGTTCGTGGAGCTGCTGCGCCACCTACCCGGATTCATTTTCTTGGGTTTCCCAGTACTATCGGATCCACGTACATCTGCACTTGATGAGATCTCGACCATCAGGAGCGTTCATTGGCAACCCCTCATCACGTCATTTTTAGGCGCTCAGACACGTGGAAGGAGTCTGTTACTTTGCCTTACCAAGTTGGTGGCGCTCGTGCGCGGCTAGACCTTATTATATATATATATATATATATATATATATATATATATGATCATTTTTATTTTTTACAAGAAGGTATCCCTAATAATCTTGAAAATGTCTTTCTCATCTCTTTTCTACTCATCACCTTGCAGTCTTACAATTTCGCCATCACCCTCGCCAACGACGTTGCATTGTCATCCACCTGCACCCAATTAATGACGAGGGCTTCACAACCTTTGACAACTCAATCAATCCTGACTGAACCCAAAATGATAATAATGATTATAATTCTATTAGAAATATAATTGTGGTTAAGTTTCATTACCTATATCAGAGGATCATGGTTAAACGCATGCCCACAAGGTTATTTTTTGGTATATCCTTATATCCCATGATACCTTCTCTCATCACACCCTTAGCCCACGATGCTTGTATGGCCATCACCCACTATAAGGCTATTGCCCACATCAAGGTGACACCTCATTCGATGACCCTTCACAACATTTTTGTCTTTGTTGTTTGTGGTTTTTACTTATGTGAGAGAGGTAAATTTATATTGTCCACAAGCGTATAGACATGATGAACGAGAAAGGACATCGCACAAAGACGATGATACCTCTTGATGGGAGCGGAGCATGGAGACAATGGACATGACGAGCTAAGAAGGTAGCTAGTAATGAGTAGTAAAGAGCGATGGTGTTGATCGGACGAAGGCAACGGATAAGAAAGAAAATAGAAATACATTTATGAAAGTATAAAAAATAGTGGTACTAGGCGTGAAAAAAAAAGAAAAAGAAAATAGAGGCACCAACTAGGAGAAAATAAAAAAAGAACTTTAAAAAATATTATCGTAAGCGATGATCATTAATATTATTATTTTAGTTTTTTTCAATCTAATACCTAAAATTAAATTAATATTATGAGAATGTGCTGAAGGCTTGAAGATTAATCATCCCTATATTGGCACAGTTCCATAGGAAAAAAAATCAAGGAATAAAAATAGAAAATTAACATGGGAGAATTCCCTAGAAATGCTCTCGAAAAGATGAAAATACCCTCGAAAAGTTGAGGGCACTTTTCCCCCTTCTTTTTCTCCCATTGAACTGGTTCAATCAGTCCTCCAATTCTAAAATTGGTTCAAACTAATATTATAAAAATACTTTATATATAATTTATGAAAAAGTAATCATAAAATAAGATAACATTAAAACTATCATAAAATATAATAACATATAAAATAAAATTATAGAATTAATTTAAATAAAAATAATACAATAATAACA